GTTTTGTTGGGAGGGGTTAGTGTTATATAAATACATTACAAAAAGTATTTCTTAGTGTTAGGACAGTAGAGCATTTTACAGTGCATAATATGTATTCAGTGCAAATATATATTCAGAATCTCTGGAGTCCTAACAATATTATGTAGTCTGACTACTGCATCATTCCTGCTACAACATGTAAGAGAAAAGAGCAAGATGCAAAGAGAAGAATACACAGGCATTAAAAAAACCTGATATGTTTTCATTGTAACATAATGAAAAGATGTTACAGTTGCCTTGCATATTCTAGTATATTGCTTATATATAAAAGAAAGCAATTTTTTTTACTATCAGAATAAAACTCACAGCTGTGATAAAGTAAGTCTACAAAAGCTTGTTAACTCTACAGTACAATAAATATTAAACCAAGATTTCATATTACTTTGCTGTGCTCTGATGGCAGGAGTAGAGCTCTTAAAATGTCAAACACCCAATTTGGTTTTTATGCCTTTGGAAGCACCCCACAGCATACCTTATGCTCTTCTATTTGATGCTTTAGGTCCTCTAGATCAGGACCTAAGGGCTCCAAATCAGTTTTCTTTGTCCTTTCCTCTGTTTTTGTCAGCCAATCAGCTAGCTGGGCTAGCTGCTGATTCTGCAGGTCCATTAGGACTTTATGTAAACTGTAAAACAAAGAAAAAATAATTAGAATTTATAAGTGAAGAAAACAACAGGCAGAAATATCTGCCTCATATAATAACAGATTTTCACAGGGTAACATTTGAAGGCAGAATAGAAATATGTGTTTTGAAAGGGGAACAGGGCAGTGCTCACAGCACCAGCCTCACAGAGCTCAAGAAGTGCTGGGACAATGCTCTCAGGCACATGGGGTGACTCTTGGGGTGTCTGTGCAGGGCCAGGAGTTGGACTTGATGACCCTGATGGGTCCCTTCCAACTCAGGAAATACTAAGGTTCTACGAAAAAGGTATCTGAATTTTTTTTTAAATAGTTTTGATTTAGGCAAACTGTTTTGAAGCTTTTTATTTAGGAACTGACTACATCATATAATATTCACTCTATTAAAGCTTTGTCTTCTAGTTGCATTCTCATTAGAGCTGGAGTTCAAAATTTCCGCACTCTGTTTTTTTAAAGCTTGTTTTATTCATTAAAGTATTTTAAAAACTACTCAAACAGCTGACCTTACCAAATTTCCTCTAATTTAGGCTATTAAATAGAAAAAATATTACCTTTTCAGTTATTCAATGGAGAACAGTCTGAAATATTAACCAGGAAATATTTCAGTTTTGCCTAATCAAATTGTATAGCTAGATCCAAAATGATCTGGCCAAAAATCCATTCCAAATTTCCATTTACACTTGCCTTTTCAGAAATTCTCTAAACTTTCCTAAAAAAACCTCTTCATCAACATAATTTCTATTATTTCAGATTTTTTTCCCCCTAACTGGAAATAGATTATTAAAGATCAATTAAAACCACCAGAGGACTCATACAGTACTGTTTCCGTCCTAATCTCTCTATCAATTGCAGACAGAGTACAGAAAGGTGATACCCTGTTTCAATAAAGCCCATGGTTCACAAAAGATTAGGGATCTCAGATCTCAGTCCTTCACCTTCAACTGTGTCTTTTATTGTCTGGATGTTCTAAACTAAACTATTAAATATAAACTACAATACTTCATCGTGGAGGTATTCCTGTTAGCAATAAATTAAACAAACTGTACAGAAAACCTATTAAACTGAATTTAAGAAACTATGATGAAACACGTATTATAGATGTTATTCTGAAATTAGGAGCATAAGTTTTAAAAGTAAATAATCACAACAAATATTCACAGTTTATTGCTAAGAAAAAAAATGCTTCTTCTTTTTTACCATTCACCATATAGTTCCTTGTTTTGAACATCTGATATGAGGTTTTAGTATGTATTTATATACCTCAGGAGATTATCAAAACTTTTGCTTATAGTATGGCTCTCAAGCTTCAAATTAAAAAAAAAAAAAAAAAAAAAAACAAAACAAACAACTTTTACATTGAATTGAATGTGTTTTAAACGTTGAAGAACTTCCTATAAAGTGGTAAATTGCATTGTTTTTCTCTGCAGTGGCATATTTATCACTGAGATGCTTTACTATAGAGAATCCTGTTTGGGAAAGGCCAGGAGGAAGTAATTTTTAAAAAACAGTTTTCCTTCAGCATGCTAGTGCACTGCTTATTAGAAGAGTCAAATACTTTCAATACATAGTGAATACATGAGAAATTCAATCTGGGCTGCTTTTACACAAAGGCATTGTTGTGTTCCAATCTTCCTCTGACATTCTGATCTCCTAAATCACTTTTTCTAAGACCCTTTCACTTTTATAGCATCTTTATCGGTATATTTTCCTCCTGTCCTTGTTTACTGCTTGCTTTTGTTTTCCCTGTGCTGTAAAGTGTGGTACCTTTTTTCACACTTTCTATTACCATTACAGAGGTCAAACAGCCTTGCTGTTCTCATCCTCACAAAAACTGTCCCTGTTTGACTGTGTCACTGCTGCCTTAGGAACAAGATTACAGCAAAGTGCTCAAAAGATTGTGCTTTAAGCTGAAGTAGAAGATGGATCCTGAGAGTTTAAATTATGTATAATAACTAAGAAATATATTATATTGTGATATGAAAGCTTTTTATAATCCTCCAGACAGTTTCTTGAAACACAGGGGTTTGACCAAAAGGCCAGAATTAACTCTATCTAAATATTTAGCTCCTGAGAAATTTTCTCTTGTCCTATCCCAAATCTCATTGAATTTATCAGAGATTTTTTTTATAAGAAATTAAATAGTAGCAAAACACTTTCTGTGAAGCCCCTATTATTTTACGTCTTCTACTGAATTAATATTACCCTAACATGACCTGCTTTGGAAGATATTAGGCCATTCAATTCCCCAAGCAATGACCTACAGATGCAGCTGGGAGATGCTTTTAACAGCTGGTGTTAAAGCACATTTTAAGTAGACAAAATGCCACTCAGACACATAGCTATTTGTACGTGTTGATTTAAATGAAAATAAGTATATCCAATAAAAATTCCCTACAGAAAAGCATCATCAATTTTTCTCTCTCAAAAAACAAAAGAAAACTAGAACTGGAAGAAGTTAGGTTGAAACATCTGAAACCCACCAACAATTTTATAGTCAAAGGAAGGCAGAATAAAGGAAACATTCCCTATATTCAGTAGCAAACTGAAAAGAAAACAAATGTTTGGAATTGCTAAGAACATATGCAAAAAAGAGAGTTATGTAATACAATTGTTGAAAATCACAGTTTGCTTTTTAATGCAATGGGCAAACCCCTCAACTCCAAAAGGTAAGATAGAACTGGAAAAAATTCAGGGGAGCAAGACGGGTAACTGAATATGTTCAATACATATTTATGAAGGGAGTAAGAAAATATATACTTTATCTCTTTATCTTGTAAACCAAATTACTCCCCTGTGGCACAATCATAAGCTCTTACATTTATGGAATTTCTTATTCCAAATGGTACTATATAAATCAAAATTTCAAAGTCATATATAATAATATTAAAAATCTCCAAAGATTATTGTGACTATTTAATAGATTATTTCTCTACTTCTACTTGTAGTTAAACTTTAAAACATAGGACTTGCCCTTTCTTAAATGGTGTAATTTGTAATTTGCCCTCCAATAAAACCATAACACTATTTCCAGAAAATATTTGTTTCCCTTTTCCCTTTTTATCTTTGCAAAGATTTTCTCCTTTGTAGCTCAATATAGTGCAATATTTGTTGAAATAACTGGAAGAAGATGAGGTAGGTTATGTAAATTGTGGTTATATTGTTATCTGTGTCCGAGGTGTTGACAGCTGCTGCTTTTTGTGGCTTCCAGGCTCCAAACAACATGCGGGGCTCCAAATCATTACACATCAAATTTCAGGTTAAAACAGATACAAGATGGAGTTTTGTCCACAGTGAAGTGAAGGAAAATCCCAACTGTTAGTCAAGTTCAGGATCGTTTCAGTCAAAATCAATATATAGTATTTCACCTGACATATTACTTACTTGCTTTGTTTTTCCATACTTGCTATCCTGAGACTTTCCCAGCGAGAATTAAGTAGATTCATTTGTTCTTGGATTTCATTCTCTTCCTCGTCTGAAAGTTTTCCGGTTGATAGAAGTTGACTTCCAACTTGCAAAACATTACCAACACGTCCTTGGTGAGCTGTTAACTCCATCATAAACCCCTGACAATTACAAAGAATAAAAATAAAAATCCAGTTTTCAGTTGCATTCCTTGAAATGCAAGAACAGAATTGCACCATTTTGCCAACATGATTTTTAACCTTGGGTTTAATTTTTTCAACCCCTCACTAAACCTTGTAACATAAACTGGAAATAAGTACTTTCATCTTCTTCAAAGACCAAAAAGTTGTTTACTCTGGAGAAGAAGAGGCTGCAGGTTGACCTTACTGATCTCTGCAATTACCTGAAAGAAGGTTGCAAAGAGGTGGGTATAGTAACAAATGATAGGATAAGAGGAAATGGCCTCAAGTTGTACCAGAGGATGTTTACATTGGATTCTAGGAAAAAAAGGTCTCCACTGGATGCTGTCAAACATTGGAATGGGCTTCCCAGGGAAGTGATTGAGTGACCATCCTTAGATGTGTAGATGCAGCATTTAGGAACATGGTTTAGTGGTGGATTTGGCAGAGTTAGGTTAATTGTTAGACTTGAGGATCTTAAGGGTCTTTTCCAGCCTAAACAATACTATGACTCTTGAGAAGAGTCTCCTGTTTACATTCTCCAGATCAAAATGAATAAAAAACAAAACAAATCCCCAAAAGACAAGCAAAGAGAATAGAATACAATAAAAATATTTTGAAAGAGTAGTATAGACATATACCTCATGGGTGTGAAACTGTTCTTTAACAACTTCTACATCACTGGATATATCTCCTTGTGCTTGTAGTGCATCTTCAGCAGAGAGAAGCCATGTGAGTACTTCTTCTAAAGCAGTTTGGTAGTTTTCAAGATCTCCAGCCCCCATCCTCACGGTGCTAAATTTCTTTTCTTCAACTCTTTCTAAAAACTGAACAAAACCAAAATTTTAAGAGCAATAAAAATGCATCTGCTCAGACAGTTCTACAAAGGGATAAATGGACCACCATTATATTCTTAAAAAAAAAAACAAACCCAAAACAAACAAAAAAACCAAAAAACAAAAACAAACAAACCTAAAAAGAACCAACAAACAAACAAACAAAAAAACAAACAAAAAAACCCCCAAAAAATAAATTTAAAAAAAATCAGATGGCTAATACATAGAAGTACTTTGTAATAAAAAATCTATTAAGTGATCAAGATCAGTTAAGTTGGGTGGAAATTCAAAAAAACTCATATTCAATTAGATATTTCACACTATTATTCAAAATACCTTTCAAATGTTCTGAATAGTGAATAATGAAAATAATATTTACTACATATTCAGAGAGGTATTTACCACAGCAGCTCATAAAATGATATAAGCAAAAAAGGAGCAAATTACTTGCCGACTTTGCAGAGAATCTATGGAAAACATGACATTTAAAAAACCCAAACCAACAAACCTTTACACTACATGCAATGCTAGGCCTGAGCAATCCACATATATATATTTTGTGAAAACCATTCTAGGAAGCTGAAAAAGCTCAAAACCTCATGCGAAATCATGATGTTTTAAAACCAAGCAAAAGTGTTGATTTCTCTTTTCTGCAAAGGCCAACCTTATAATTATTTTTTAGAAGCCAAGTATCTCTTATGAGAACAGAAATCCCATTTCTGGTCTAATGCTTAAAGTCAAGAGAAATCAACAAGTATTTATTGATTAGTATAAAAGTAGAAAACAAGGACAGAAGACAAGCAAAAAATGCATTTGCTAAAGGAGATTCCCCACCATACATTTTCAAAACGTTCAGAACAAGTTTAGCTACTTTGTTAGGAATTTAATCTAAAAACAAACTATACATATAAATATGCTTATGCTTCCATAAAATAAAAAAATATACAAAGGCACTTAATGTTTTTATAGTTGGCAAAAATTGTTTCTACTGACAAACTTGTTCCAATAAAATGCTCAAAGCAGCTAATAAAGCCTTTCATTGCAGTTTAGAGAGGAAAGTTAAAGTTTATCACTGGAACCACAAGCAGGAACACAGCAGGCTGTGAGTGGGAAGGGACCCAGAGGATCCTCAAGCCCCACTCTTATGTGAATGGTCCCAAAGCTGACCTCCCTTAGCTGACGTGCAATTAATGCAATGTAATCAATAAAATGAACTTTTCATCTTCACAACAACAGCTACATTTGGAATTGCATACATCTAATAATCATATGAAATTTGTGCAGATTCCTAAATATGTGTTAGGCTAGGTAATAGTCATGATTTTATCCACCACTTGTGTGAGAAACACAAAGGTCAGTAACTGAATCCTCATCAGAAAAAGCAGGCTTGGAAATCTGATGAACTTCATAGTTTGGATTGTTGGGTGTTTTCGGTTTGGTTTTTTTGTTGTTGTTTTTTTGGTTTTTGGGGTTTTTTTTGTTTTGTTTTGTTTGTTTGTTTGTTTGTTTTGTTTTGGGGTTTGTTTTGTTTTGTTATGTTTTTGTTAAAAGAAGTACTATCTATACAGATATATAAATAATGAAGCACAGAAAATGGTCAAGATATATTCCTTCTGAACAAATTAATTTTTAAACTGTGTGTAATTCTAGATTTCAAATAATATATAATGCAATAAGAAATTGCACCCAGACAAATCACATTTCTGCAGCAAGATATATTTTTTCCATTGTGAAAAAAGGGATAACTTGATCAGTGCTTTTCACAGGTAATATTTTTTTCTGTCTATAGCAATACTTCATGGTATATATCCATATCTGTTACAGTGTAAAAAAAAATGCTTTAACAGTTGAGTGAGGTAAAGGATATCAGGTTTGTAGAGATCTGTGATGATCTACGTTGTCTGCGTTTGATTGAAAATTCTTCATCTGAAAATCCTTCCTTCTCTAGATCAGACACTGAATTGTCTCGTGTGACAAGTATTTAGCTGAGGACTCCCAAGGACACTTTGTCTGAGGAACAACTACTAAGTATAGTTTTTCCTAATGATCAGCATTTTCTCTGCTTTCTCTCATGCTTAAATAAATATTTTACAGAAGAGCACTGGAAAATCTTGGACTCACGACCTTCTATGAAAAATGGTGCCTAGACTAATTTCAGATCTGTTGTAATATCTCTCAAAGAAGTATAAAAACCAAAAAGATTCTAATAAAAATAGAAAAAAAAAAGGTTTCTTGAGAGGTATTTAAAATTGTCTTCTCAATCTCCCCCCCCCCCCAAAAAAGGCAAAAAAATCCAAAACCAGGCTGTTTTCTGAAATAAGGAAAACAGAGAAAGAATTGAGGAAAAGTACATCAGTATGGAATTCTAAAATTATGACACTGTAAAATGTCTACAAGGATAAAAAACACTCCTTGGAGGCAAACGTGGTTTTTGACTTTTCAAAAAATACATATAAATACTGTTATATTTCATGTCTACTACTTCTGTCAGCGTTGTTTTCTCTCCAAGAGATAACTGGCCACCCTTGCTTATCCTGCATATCAAATGAAAAACAGCTATCAAATCAGTGGAATTAGCTGTAAATGGAACATGAAACACTTAGAAGTGGGCAACTACTGACTTAATGCTTATGGCACACTCTTTGTATTAAAAACCAAAACAGTGTTTCAAAGATTATTATACTGATTATTCATCTCATAATAAACCCTAAAATTCAAGTAGACAGATCCTACAGTACTAAGAATATTCCCAAAATTAAATAATCCACTTAAGACAAACAAGAATAGAAATCTCTGATTCTTATAAATGGTATTGGTAGGTAACCAAACAGCACAACCTGTGAGTGTTCTTGTTTATGAATTTATATGAAATCTCTTTGAAATGCCCAAAAAAAGTAAGAAGAAATTGAATTTTAGGGTGTTGCATATATTATATGGGTAACATAGTTATTAATATAGATATCTGATATAAGTTGTGATGGCTGTTTCTAACCATATTTTTAAGAGTGAAAAACAATGAGGACAGGCTGAATCAAATTGTTATAGCCATATAATGCTAGGGAGACTATTCTTAGGAAAAAAAGCTGCCTGAATATGAATCCAGTTTCATTCTTAAATCAAAACTTGTTCTTAATAAAGTATTTAATGAGTATGTAACACAAAATTGATTAGCTGCAGTTAGAGCAAAACACAGAGTAATTTACTGACTAAAAACTTCAACCAAAACTCATTGTGGTGGTGCATCCCTCCCTCCCTCCCCCTTGGGATGCACAGGAATCTCAGAAATACTCATGGGCTTTGGTCTTGAGCTCATCACAAACATTGTCTGCTCCCATTAATTTATGTTGGCTAACAAGCCAACTGTTTCTTAATTAACAGTCTTGGAAACTCATTTTTCTTGCCTAAACTAATGAAATAATGACCTGAGCAGAACAGTTATGTTATCCAACCTTTAAAGAAAGTTACTGACCCAAATTGTGGCCAAGACAGAAAGTCACTATGACCAAACCCAATTCTCTCATGCCCCTGGGAGCAGCAGTCCTAAGCTGAGACCTGTTGAGCTCTGCAGGACCACAGCAGGATGTGAACAGCAACCTCCCTCTGTGTGTGAGCCCTCTCACAGGCACTGAACTCTCAGTTTGCTGTACTCGGGAGAGCACTGACCAACACCACTGAAAAATGACAGGAGACGTTTAAATTTTTAATGACCACTGCATCACATGTAGCTGGGGATCAGTCAGGAATTCATCTCACAGACTGTTTTGAAAAATGATCAGACACTTCTGCATGTAACAATCCTGGTCATTGTTATGGACTAATATATAAAGAAAAAATTGCTCTGGACCCATATGTTGTCCTCTAGACTCTCTTCCTCCTCCTTTGCTTTCTGTTGCACATAGACAAATTTCACCTAGATAAAATGATAGGAATTTTAATCTCTGTACACTTCACCATCTTCTGGTGGGATGTGAGGGCTAAAAGACCTCAAGGACTCTCAAGATTTAAGTGAAAGTAAAAATCCTCTGACCTTCAGAAGCCTGGAAAAAATGAGCTATTCCTAGCAAATGCATGAATTAACTCAAAGAATTTAAACCATGAGCTTGTAGCCCCTCCAAGGTAAGAAAGTGAGGGGACAAAGCATTCCTCATCTGCTATGCATTATATTCTTAAAGGGAGGAGAAGGATTTTTTGTGTATTATCAAATTCTCCAAGAATGTTTCTATTAATATATGAAGACTGATTCTGAGTTTTAGTTGGGCAGCTTTAGAAAGTAGTTCTATAGGAAACACTTTGGGTTGATTCCAACACTCTTATTTATATTATGTATTTCCTTCCTTCAGAAACTGCCTTCCCCACTGTAAAAGATAAACAATGTGGCTCTGGACACTTAGAGCTTTTAAACTCAAAGACATAAAATTTTAAAGAAACATTTTTTATTAAATGCAAATTTAAGTTCAGAGTATATTTCTCATTTTGAACACCTCCTTTGCAGGATTACAGCTTCAGAAAATATTCACATTATTCACTCTTTGACTATGCTTCCTATCATCTAACTATGAAACCACTGCTTATTCTTTCAGTTCCTCCAACTTCCTCATTACAAAATCTATTTTATATGTCTTTGATTCCAAAATTATGACTGTTAAAATGTTAAATGATAAAATGGTAATTTCAACAATCATGATTATATTTTCTCAATAGATGAGTCAAGACAAAATAGTTCAGGCATTTGTGGTAATAAAACTTATAAGATAAATTGGTTCAGATCACTTGTTATTATAATGTTAACAATTTCCTTGTTCTAAATGAGGCTAGCACTTCCATTTTATTAAGTATTTTAAAAACCTCTTTGTAAATGAATCTTGGGTAAGAATGATTTTTTTTGTTTGCTTTGTTTGTGGTTTTGGTTTTTTTTGGGGGGGGGATGTTGTTTTGGGGGTGTTTTGTGCTATTTGTCTGAAAATCCACACAGCTTAACCTTATGATAAATCTGAAAAACTGCAGGTTTTGCTTGGTCAGTTGAGACAAGTTAGATTTGTAGTACTTGATTTTCTCTGTGGTTCCATTTCTACTGCATATGTTTCCACCTGGATGAATTGACCTGTCCTTGCAACTGCAGTTTTGAGATGCAGCAGATTATTAGGTCATTAAAAATCAATGGAGCTTAGGCAATGTATATGTTGAGGAGAAAAGCCAGAGCCAGGCAATATTGATGAAAGCACATTCATTACAAAGGAAGGAAAACGTTGGAGCTATTGACAGGAAAGTGGCAAAAGAA